AACCTCTGGCTGAAGATAGGGTTTAGGGTTTGGGGTTTAGGGTTTTAGGGTTTGGGGTTTTAGGGTTTGGGGTTTAGGGTTATAGGGTTTGGGGTTTAAGGTTTAGGGTTTAGGGCTCTGGCTGAAGATTAAGAAGGGGAAGGGCTGTGATGCCGCTGTCCAGGGAAGTCACACTGCGGCATGGATGCAGCTTGGGTCACAATACACTTCCGTTTCGCTGAACTCCTACGGAGGAGTCTCCACATAAATCCTCAACGTTCGCCCCGGCAGCCCCTATCAAGGATTTGACTACAATTTGCATTACGGGAGGCGTGTTTCTTTTAAGAAGCGCCTGCTTTAAACCCTACACCCTCCTTTAATGATATATACGAATATTGTAGGCCCCCGAGAATTCCAAAAACCCTAACCCTAAACCCTAAGCCCAGAACCCCAAAGCCTAACCTAGCCCTAAGAAACCCTATATCGGCTAGCCCTAAACCCTAAACCCTGGCAGGCTCCACTGTCCGCAACTGAGGCCCTGAACAACTCCTGAGACCCACCCTTAAGGAGGTTCGGAGTTTCGGAGTTTAGGGGTTTAGGGGTTAGGATCCTTACACCTTCAGCGCTTAACCCTTCAACCGGGCCTTACTGAATAGACTCGGGTCTGGGATATCTTATAGCGATTTTGATGAAGGTGAAGAAACCACTAACATTGGTAACCAGTATAGTAGCCCGCGGCTCACCCCTAGTTTACAGTAAAAGCCCCGGCGACGGGCGTGTTGTGTACTACAATCAGAACAAGTCAGGAATGGAATTACTCCGCTAGTGCTTGTCCAGGCTTCTATGGTAATTAGTAGAGCAGCCCCTTGCTTAGGGCCTCATCAACTCGAAGAGGGTTTCGGGAATTGTCTACTCTAGATACAGTAAATCAATAACCCTAAACCCTCAATCCCTAAACCCTAAACCACTAAACTCTAATCCCTAAACCCTAATCCCTACTCCTCTAGTAACCCCCAACAGTAACCCCTATAACTCAAACTCAAGTCCCGGCAACCCCTGTCGTCCTTCATGTAAGTCCCCCCGAAAAATGCTTAGTTCTCCAATAAGCCTCACAAGTAAAAGGTTAGACTTCCAGATTGCTACTAAACCTAAAGAGCCCAAAAGTTTTAAGGTAGGATATTGAAGAACTAAGATGCTACCCTATACTAAACCTTATTATATTATACTATACTATACTATAATATACTATACTATACTATAATATACTATACTACACTATGCTTTGCTATACCATACTATACCATACTATACTATACTACACTCTCTTATGCCATGCTGTGCTATAGTATACTATAGACTAACCCTCATAGCAACTTCTGACAGTAACCTTAAGACAAAACTGCAGACCAGGTATTGCTGAGGAGCGCTTGGCATCCCGAAGCGCTTCCGCTTCGAGCACCGAGTTCCAAAGAGAGAAAGTGCCTTTTGTTTCATATGGGTAGCTCTCTAAAGCTTATAGGATTTAGGGGTTCAGGGTAGGGGGTTTCTTTAATTAGGGTTTAGAAGTTTATAGGTCTTAGGGGTTTAGGGTAAGGGGTTCCTTTAACGAGGGTTTAGAAGTTTATAGGATTTAGGGTTTAGGGGAAGGGGTTCCTTTAATTAGGGTTTAGAAGTTCAGGATTTAGGGTTTAGGGTAAGGGTCGTATAGGGTTTACTGCAATTTTGCAGGCCTCTAGTTCATATGCAGGCCTTTTAAACTAGAATAGGGGGCTCCTTTAAGGGTTCCTTTAAGGGTGGCGGTAGTTCTTATATGGTCTTTAGTATAATGGCCTTTAGTTCATATGGGTAGTTCTCTAAGTTAGGTTACCTTTCACTGTCCTTTTTATACGGGTACCGTACTACTATTTTGGGACCTAAAACGGGACCCTCATCTACAGCTCGTAGAGAACGGCCTCGCCTGAGGGTTCCTTCAAGGGCTACTGAAACTTTCATATTTCAAAGGGTCTTTAGCACAGGGGCCTTAAAAGTTAGAACAGCGTTTGGGGTATGGTATGCGATAATCATCATAGCACAGTAGTATTGGTCTTATTCACTGAATATAGGGGCCTTGACAAGTAAAATAGGTTGCCTTCAAGTTCGGTTAAAGGGATTCTTCAGGGGCTCTGTACGGGGTTACTGTAGTTGGCTCTGATACATGTTTAACACTAGGGCCTTGACACTGAGAAGAGGGCTTTGGGATACACATATAGGATCAACTAATATGTGCGTATATACCGTATATTACACATATGTGCATATATTCTGTTATTGACCCCCCTAAACTCTATAAAGCCTGATAAAGATGATGAATCGGATCCCAAAGAGCTGTTTCGCCTTAATGCTGTTTGGCTTTAGGATCTATAGGGCTGAGGGCCGTAGCTTTTGGATCTAACATTCGCTTGTGGCTGCTTGGGTTGGTGTTTTGATATATTTTGGTTGGGGTGTCTACCTAAAACCCTAAGCCCTAAACCCTAAGCCCTAAACCCTAAAACCCTAAGCCCTAAACCCTAAGCCCTAAGCCCTAAAACCCTAAGCCCTAAACCCTGAGCCCTAAACCCAAAGCGTCGTTGGCGCCGGTGGGGGGAGTGGTTTACGTATGCTTCGGCTCACGGCTGCTCTAGGGTGCAGTGGTACTTCGGTCGTTCAGGATGTTTGGGTTTAGGGTTTAGGGGTTTAGGGGTTTAGGGTTTAGGGTGTAGTGGTTTAGGGGTTTAGGGGTGTTGGGGGTTGGGGGTTGAGGGTTTAGGGGTTTAGGGCTTAGGGGTTCTAGGGTTTATAGGGTTTAGGGGTTTTAGGGTTTTTTAGGGGTTTTGGGGTTTAGGGTTTAGGATGTTTGGGTTTTCTGGCTTTGGGATTGGCGGGCTTTGGCTCGGGGCTTCAGGGCTTTTAGGGTTTAGGGGGGGGGACTAGCTCAGGGATGTTCATCGTGTTCCGGGTTTCGGAACTGGGACTTGACAGTTTTTCGGGATTGCAGAGTTAGAGCTCAGCGTCCAGGGGTTCTCTTCACATAGAAACCTTCATAGTTAAATAAGCTTTTTTTGGGCTCATATTTCAGCTGCTTTGTCGGTATTTTCGCGGTTAAGACTGCTATCGACTACTACTGCTACTGCTGCTACTAGTCCACGACGACGACGACGACTGCGACTGGGATTCGGGTTTGTATACTCAAAGTAACTCTTCAACACTGTTGCTACTGATGCTTGCTGCCCGATCGAGGCATTAGTCTATGAGGACGATAAAAGCCGATCTTGATGACGATGCCGTGGTGGTGATCGCAGTCATTGCAAAACTCATTCGCATCTCCTAGTTATCCGAATCATAAACACTTTCACTGCAGTTCGGAGGAGCATAAACGGTGACATGTCGATTGATGGCAGGCTTCTTCTCCGTCTCTATATACCCTAAACCCCTAAACCCTAAACCCTAAAACCCTAAACCCTAAACCCCTAAACCCCTAAACCCCAAAACCCTAAGCCCTAAACCCCATAACCCCCTAAACCCCTAAACCCTAAACCCGAAAATGCCGAGGGTGCTGTAGCGCGGAGGGAGCTCCGTCTGCTTGGCGCCGTGGCAGCGCGAGCCCTCCAAAGGCTCCGTGGCGACGCGATGGAACCTCGGAGACCACTGGGTGCCTTTAATTTAAAGGGATCCTATATGGGGCTCTTTAAGGGTTCTTCGGGGTTCCTTTAAAGGGATCTATAAGAAGGGTTTTGGGGTTTTTGGGGTTTCGGGAGTTTAGGGGTGTGGGGTTTTAGGGGTTTAGGGTTTTAGGGTTTAGGGGTTTAGGGTTTAGGGGTTTAGGGTTTAGGGTTTTAGGGCCTCAGGGTCTTAGGGCTTTAAGGTTTTAGGGTTTAGGGTTTAGGGCAAGTTTAGGGCTTTAGGGGTTTAGGGATTTAGGGTTCGAAGTCTCGTGCCCTTTTAGGGGAAACAAGGAAACTAGAAGATCTGTCGCTAGAAAGATCTGTCATCATTGGGCGAGAGTAGATTTCAACGTTCCATATAGAGTAGAGAACATATACATGTATATATGTATATAATATAGATGTATTATGAAGACAATGTATAGGCTTGTAAGGAAGTGGCGGTATTGAGAGTACTTGGGTTTGCATTGTATGTGGGTGGAGGGGATTGTGCTGCACGGCCTGAGGAATGGGATCATCGCAAGGACCGGTTTGGGGCCCTCAATCTGTTTGAGGTTGAGTTGAGGGTTAGATTCGGGTGCTGGGCCTAAGTCAGAGTTCCGGTGAGCCACGCCAGGAGAACCGAAAAGCTTCTGCAGCTGCGAGCAAGGAGGCCCGATGCTGCTGCAAAGAGTCGATGCGATTGCAGCGCAACACAAAACCACCGAGAGCTCGTAGACAGCCGCGAGCAGCACACAGACGAAACTGCTCCGAGTGCACATAGCATTGAACATAGGAAGAAAATTCCCCACTGCAAAATCTCGGAAGTGGAATGCTTTTAGCGGAGCCTCGTGTGAGCTATCCTTCAACATGTCCCAGGGTTCCGTGCCTCGGCGCTCCGAGATCATCGATGGGATCGTACCCCGGGGATCCTTGATGAAGCTGCGCATCCTGGAGAACAAGCGTTTTCTATTTCAGGCACGCAGTTTCCACTGAACTGCGTTGATTGCGGCTCAGGTTCGCATTCTAAGGGTAAGAAAATGTGGGTCCTCTGTCTGCCAGACAGCCGGGCATGTGCGTTTGCCTGCTTTTGCCATCCCTGGTGGGCAGGTGGTCTCAAACTGGACAGGCTGGCCTGCACACTTTGGGCTGACCGCATCTCACGAGTCCTTTTGGTGGCCATGTTCAAAACGATTTCGTTCCATGATGTGGTTCCCGGCACCACCCCTAGAAGGGCCATCCTCATTCACAATACAAGCTGGCACTTCGGCACGGTCAATCTGGCAGAGTCACGTGCCTGAGGGAGTGCTGTGTGCATGTCTTCTGTGCTTGTTTAGTGTTTGTTTTGATTCCTGCGCAGAGGCTCCTTCGAGGATTCGTGCAGAATCGCAGGGCCACTTGGTACACAAATCTGTCGGCAGGCGCAGGCTCAGTAGTGCCAGTGAAAATGAAGATGAGGTCCGAAGTGCTGGTCCAGACCTGGGTGATTGCAAAGGCCTCGAGGAAGGCAGAAAGCCTGGCTGACATCTGTACGGAGATCTTGCAGTGGCCACCAGGCCTGCACCAGCAGGAATGTGTTGGAGAGACTTGTACGATATAGACTTGTAAGATGAAACGAGGCAGTCGACTTTGGTTTTGTGAGATCGACATAGAACGTCATGACATGTGCCTCGAAGATCGTACGCTCTAGCTTCGACCCGGTGCTGGCAGGTCGTCGGCAGCTCGTGGTGAAGCCTGTTGACATGGACACTTGGCAGGATTTCGGATGACAAGCCGTCTCAACCCATAGCAGCTACGAAAGACGGAAGGTTCCTTTCGTCGGGACGACATGCAGCCTCGGGTAGACAGGGACATGTCCTGACGATCACCTCAACGGCCGCCGGAGGCCTTTGCGATCGGCACGACTCTTTGGAACCTGACTGGGCAGGTTGGACTAACGCAACATGGTCTGCAAGCTGGGCCAGACGAGTCCTCTTGACTAGACCAGCGCGACATGCTGCCCGGAGGCAAGACATTTTCTCTTCGCGCCACCAAGGCAGGCATCCTGCCAAGAGAGCTTTCCAACAAGCCTAACCGGAATGGACACAGGCCGGGCACGGCCATGCCATTGTCTATTGAGTCGTTAATTCGTTTAGTCTATCTATCCATCCATCTATGTGACATGATATGACTCCTTGGAAGAAGGCCATTGCAGTTGTTCTGAGCTTCTGACATTCTGGGATGTGGCTCCCGTGTAGCCGGTGAAGATTCAAGTAGCGCCTACCTGTACACTACCCTCATCAGCTGCACCGTAGAGTCACCGGTTTTTGTGTGCGTAGAAGGAGATTTGCACATATTTCGCCCGTGTATTTCGTGTTACATGTGCATTATCTGTGTACTATACCCTAAACCCTGAACCCCTCGACCCTAAACCCTGGTATATCCTGTGTGCCGTAGACATGAGTAAGTGTGTGAGTCGGAGCGTGTTGTTTTTCCCTGGCAGACGCTGAGCCGGAGCGAAGGGTGCCTCGGCCGCAGCTGCGGAAAAAAGCTCTTTCCTTTACGGTCGTGTTGTCGTGTCTTGAGTTCTGAAACTGTTGTATTATGTTACGATGTGATAGGTTGTTTTATGGTACGACACTGTTATGTTAAGATGTGCTCTAGAAGTTTGTAGAAGGAGAGTCTTGTGGTGTTTTTTGGTCACGACTCCGGGCTCATCGTGGAGAGGTTTCGAGGGACTTAGCTACCCTTTGGAGCTGCCAACGGCACGGCAAAATTGGCGAAGACAGGAGACGATCATCGTCCAGCAGTTGCCTGGCTGCAGCTTTCTCCGTTGCGTATCGTGTCAGCGCGCGGCAGTAGTCGAGATTTCCTTATTCTGATGAGACAGAGGTTCAGTACAAGTTAACGAGCTGGGATCTGGTGTTGACCAGATGATGCATGGCGTGTCCAAGCCCTATGGCCCTATGGAACCTCTTCAGGTTTGTCCAGAGCTGGCAGCTGAAGAATCGAAAGCTGGAACTCCGAGCACACTTGCTGAGCCGGGGCAGCATTATCGATTCGTAATGCGAACCTTTTACCAGTACCCGTCTCGTGGGTCCGGGTCGGCGTGAGAGTCAGAATCAGGATTGCATCTGTAGACCCACTGATTGCGCCCTGGCAGCAAGAGTCTCACCGCTGCCGGTGGCCAGCAGCTGGCTCGTGGGATCATGCTCTGCAGCCTTGGCCAAAAACTCGACTAATCCTGGACTGAAGGTCTTTTGGGACAGGAATCTTCTCTTCAAGTGGGGCACAGTGCCTCTGCCTGAGGGATGGGTGCTGAGTGGACCATCGCAAGAACGTGAGGTGCCTTGGCGGGGGTAAGTTCGCACTGGTAGTTGCTAAGACGCCAGCTTGTCGCCACATCTCGCATTAGCTTCCCTGCGTCCACTCACAACCCCCTGGAAGAGAGCTAGCAGACACCTCCGCAAATTCGCGCTTGTCATTGAAAGAACCGTCACCCCAATTGAAGGACCTACCATACCAAGAGTTGGTGGGCCTCGTGGGCGAAAGAGCAGCAGAAGAGCTATGGATGCACATTCACAAGCAGGAATCTCGGATGCAGTTGGAGGCCTGTTTCTGTCCATATTTCTGACCCCATTCATGTGAGTGTCACTTCAAGAGGAGACCATGTTCCAAGCCTTCTTGGATGCTTGCCTCATTTGCCTTTTGCAGACGCTGGTTTTGTCTGAGGTCCGGCGAGGCGGGGCTTCTCTGGACTCTATGCTTGAGACATCTCCGTCTGGTCTGAGAAGGAAGAGATTTCGTGCTCAGCCGCAGTTGCGCAGATGCCCGAAACTCATGAGGAAAATACTTCCGCTGATAATAAGTGATCGTCACTGAGGTCACTGCTCCACACATGCATGCATGCACAATCATGCACATGTACGCGATGCATGGTCCATCCATCTATGTATCCTCATGTGCATGTGAGGACGCAAATTTCTGCATGGTTAAGTTCAACCGCTCATGTCTGCTCATGTCTTCTGCCTTCACATAGATACATGCGAAGTTGTAACTGCAACCTGTCATGACCTGTGCCTAAGCAGGTCTGGCCGTCGTTCTGGATGCATTCAGAGCTGCTAGTGGCGGAAGGCTGACCTGGTGCCCTGGATGCAGAGTTCCGACCGATGCTTCGACCCAGAGTCTCGACCCCTGTGCCCGCTGGCCATGCGGGCGAGGTAGCAGCTAGCAGTGATGATCCCGGTTCGTTTGACGTGCGGAGGTTCAGGCGGCAAGGGCAGGGGTTCTCTGGTACAGCAGATGGATCACATTCAACCAGTGAACGTTTGCGCAAGGGGTCGTGCAAGGGAGATGAGGTGTCGCACAGCCAAAGTGGTCTCCGGTAATCGCGTCGTAGGCCGAACAGGTGTTTGGAAGACTCCAACGTCCGGTCCAGTCACCTTGGCCCTCCCAGGCCAACTGATCCGCCGAATTCGTGGGAAATCCTCGGTGCCTTCGGCCAAGTTGCAAGGCTGTGCAGATTTCTATAGACAGATACCCACACACATGCGTATGGATGTCCACACTCGAGTTAGGCTTTCCAGATCTCACACTCAAGGACGCGGACGGATTGTAACCTAAGGCCCTAAGCCCTAAGCCTAAACTTGCCTCTGGACGGATACTCGCATCATGAGATGTGCTTCGCAACTCTGCGGAAATCGGTCTGGTTTATAGTATATGGGCCATGGATTATAACTGCTAGTATCGAAGAGCTATATAAATGCAGCCCATCCGCAGTGCTAGACTACGGTGGAGGTCGCTGTAAAGCTTTGAAAGTGCTGTGAGGCTTTCCTACTATCGGCTTTTCGGGACATGTTTGATGTTTGCATGTTCAACCCTGGCCCCCCCAAACCCGAAGCCCACTACACAACTGAATGTCCCCTCGCGAAGACGAGTGCGCACCGTGCACCAAGGAGTGTAGTCACTTTGATTTGAGCCTGTTGCGTTGTTCTTAAGCTCCGTTTTCTGGTCTCCGTCGTCCTGACCAACACCCAGGGGTTGACTTTGCCTTGGAGCAGTCGGAGGCACTGCGCGTGGACGCGAAGGCACCCCCGTGGATCTGCACAAGCATTGGTGCGACGGTGGATGGAGGGAATCTTGCATCGCCTGCACACACTGTTTCCGGTACACATCCAAGCAACAACCCCG